TACTCCCCCACTCCCCCACTCACCCCGGTACATCCCCATCAAAGAGGGTAAATCTTGCCCCAGTTTTGTGAGACATCTCCTCCAAAGCCTTGCCACGGGGAACTCGGAACGACAGATCGTCAACCTGTTCCGTACACACGGGTGAACACACAGAGAAATACACTTATATAATATACATATATAAAATACACATACAATATAAACATTATTATATAATATACATAACAGACTATATTTATGTAGAGATATGCTGGTGCTTCAGGTCAGTTTGTATAGGTTTACCTAAAACACCAGGTGCCACTGAGTGTGGTATGCATAGAACAATTAGCCCTATGAATCATTTTACAAAAATATTGCTGCGAGTAATGATGGGAAGATTGAGAAAAAGTGTAAGACCAGAGATATCTAAAACACAATTCGGCTTTGTTCCTGACAAGGGCACCAGAAATGCTATATTCACCTTAACAATGTTAATGGAAAGATGTATTGAAGCACAGAAAGATCTGTATTTATGCTTCATAGATTATTCAAAGGCGTTTGATAAAGTTAGACATGATGAGCTATTGAAAGTACTGGCAAAGATAGACATAGATGGAAAAGATCTAAGAATTGTCAGGAATTTGTACTGGGGCCAAAACGCTGCTGTAGGAAGTAATGAAAAATACAGAGAATATAAGCGGATCAGGCGAGGAGTGAGGCAAGGATGTGTTATGTCACCAGACCTCTTTATCATGTACAGTGAAACAATCCTTAGAAGCATAGGAGAATGTCCAGGTCTCAGAGTGAATGGAAAAAGTATTAATAACATCAGATATGCAAATGACGCAGTTTTAATAACAGGCTCAGAAAAGGACCTTCAATTGCTTCTAGATACAGTTATAACAGAAAGTGAACGTAAAGGAATATTGTTGAATGTAAAGAAAACAGAAACATGGAAATATTTTTAAAAAGCAACAAAGCCTAGTTGTAATCTCATTAGCAAAGGTGAAAAGATCAAACAAGTCCAACAGTTTAAATATCTAGGATATATGATAACGTCTGACGCCAAATGTTCCACAGAAATAAAAAGGAGAATTACAAAGGCTAAGGCTAGTTTCAATAAAATGAGCCCAATCCGAAAGATAGAAACATCTCAATGACCACCAAAAAGAAAGTCCTGAAATGCTGTGTTTGGTCAACCCTTCTATATGGCTGTGAATGCTGGACAATCACTAAAGACAG